TATGAACATCAATCCACCATAATTGTTACACAAATACAATAACAATTAATTTAAGTTTAAACTTTAAACCATATGAAATACATTAAAATTATAATTGCTCCGCTAGGGTTTAGGGTTTTTTTTAGTTTATATATATATTAAAAAATTATTGCGGGTAGGGTAGGCTAGGAATGTGGAAATGGATGGCTATTCCGCATTCCTACCCGAAAATTGTCGGAAGACCAAAAACTCTTCCGCATTCCTACCTGATTTTTGCGGCTAGCCGTTCAGTAGGGTCGGGTAGGGTAGGAACTTGCGGCCGATCGGAAATTTGAACACCCCTAGTAAAATCATATGCAATTCTGCCTGCCCGGTATGCAATCAGGCAAGGTTCAAACACCTGAAATTCATAAAAAAAATAGCAAAAAAAAATGATGTAATTTTGCACTGATGCAAGAGTACTTCTCTATTCTAGGGGCAAAATTCGGATTGGGTGACTTTAGAGTATGGAATTCCAAACCCATCAACCGATGATTGGATTGGAGTATTTTCTCCTGCCAATTTCAGGTAAAATGAATGTTTTTTTATGTCATTCCAAATTTTGACTCCAGCTGAATTTCATTCCTTGTAGATGGTCTAATGTAATTTGAGGGTGATAAGCTAGTTGGAGTCAGTTCTAACTCACTATTTGTCAGTGCTTCCATTTGCCCCCCTGAAACTCCAAGAGCTTATCCGCCGCTATTGTGTACTGCACCAATTAAGGTTTGAACTGTTCTGCTTTGCCATGAACGTTTGGTACGGCTGCTGTCTGCTTTTTGTTCAAAGGAATTCTACAATTAATTATCTCATTTCTCTTGCAGTTTCAGTATGCANAAACTCCAAGAGCTTATCCGCCGCTATTGTGTACTGCACCAATTAAGGTTTGAACTGTTCTGCTTTGCCATGAACGTTTGGTACAGCTGCTGTCTGCTTTTTGTTCAAGGGAATTCTACAATTAATTATCTCATTTCTCTTGCAGTTTCAGTATGCGAATTATACCAATCCTAAGGACAAAGATTCAGCAAAAGGATTGTTGAAGCTCCAATTGATCAACCAGAGATCGGACTTTTCTTTTGCTCTATTTTCTGGTGGATTATTAAATGTATGCTTGTAGCTCTCTTACCCTTGTCCTACAATCTCTAGTGTACCAAATAGTTTACTTTCTCACATGAATAATGAGATCCATTGTTTGTTATGTTGGCTTGTCGTATTCTTCTCTAATGTTAGGAGGCATGGTCTTTATGGTCTTTGGTTGTCGATTAACTGNTATGTTGGCTTGTCGTATTCTTCTCTAATGTTAGGAGGCATGGTCTTTATGGTCTTTCGTTGTCGATTAACTGATTTGTGGATTTTAAGAAACTACTTATAGTTCTAGGTGCTGCTTGATGTATTATAATGGTCTGGATCCGGACTTATTTTCAGTCTGAAAACCTCTGGGAAAATGTTTGAGTTGGATTGGATGTACTTTGAATTCTTAGTTTCTCCCTTTCAAGTTGCATGAAGAGAATATTTCTAATTGAATCTGATAGTAATTCCACGATATAGGATCCAATTGTTTCGTCAGTCTGATTATTTCCTAGTATTAAAACAAGGGTTTGACTGAAAAAATGATAACAGAAAGCTGGGTTTAGGATGCAATTCCCTTGGTCCCTGGAAGTGCCACAGATTTATGCTTGCCCCGAGTTATCAATAGAGAATTTTTGCTATTCTTTCATTTAGATCCTTTCGTTTCTGTTCCTTTTCTTTCTCTCAAATAATTACGATTTTTTTATTCTTTTTATTAAAAGCGTTGATATGACAACTATGTTCCCTTTTGCAATCCAGCCATGACCAACCTTTGCTTTGTTTCTTTGTAAAACAGCCAAAGCTTGTAGCAGTGTGAAATACAATTTGCTTTTATCAAATATGTTCCTTATTTTTAATTCTACCATGATTGACGTTTGCTGCAATATGATTTGTTTCTTCATAAAACAGCCAAAGCTAGTAGCGGTGTCAAATCCAATTGCTTTTGCAAATCCAAATGCACCAGTTTACCCACGCTTAGCACAAGGGAAAATTTGGAACGAAGTAAGCTTACTTTCTCTCATTTTGGTTTTTGTAATGGCATAGCATATGATGAAGTTAAGGAGAATCTGTGCCATGGAAGCTCCTACTTGTGCGCCCTATGATGATATTTATTTGTATGCAAGATTGTCTCTGGCAGTACACAACAAAGACTAATATAAATTATCTTACTATCCTTTATTCTAGTTGTGGGTTTAACAAATTTTGAGGAGATATTACATGGATACTCAGATGACTGTAACATGGACGAGTGGATATGGAATCAATGAAGCAGAACCTTTTGTTGAATGGAGTCCACAAGGAGGAAGACAGAGGCTTTCCCCGGCTGGGACACTGACTTTTGACCGGAATAGCATGTGTGGTGCGTAAGATGTGTTTATTGATGAGCTCTGGTTATATTTATATGGTTGGGTATTGGCTAGGTTTGTACGACAGTTATCAACCTTTTCTCAATGATGGGTGCCCCTGAATCTTTCAGTAAATGGATATTGTATTGATAACTTTGATTCCCAAATATTCAAATTTTGGTTAATTTTTTCCAGTGTATTATGTGTAAAACATCATAAAAATGATATAAATTGACTTGTATATCTATTAATTAGTACACTGTTCTTGAAGCGACCAAATTTCACAGTGGCCTTGTCACCCTTTTGGCCACTAAACGAAGGAATTAATTAGGACATAAAAGGTTATTTTATCTACTTGATGCTGCCAGATGAGTTAATAATGCTTGTTGAAGGTACACAATTGCAAAAATGGTTCAAGTAGGTGGAATGTTGATGCTGTTGTCCCTATATGGACATGACCAATAGTAGTAATGACATACAGAGAAGGAAACAATTTTTTTTCACATATCTCTTATCTTTATAGCACTTGCATGTCCTCAAATAGGGATTAACACAAGACAAGTGGTATTTGGAATACCAAATTTTGAAGAGTAATGCTATTTGGACTTAAAAATCTGACATAATTTGTTAACATAATGATGTGGCTTAATAGGAATCTTTGGATCAACACCAAGTTCTAATGTTTGATGGGGCCTAAAGCCAATCCAAAGGTCACATTCAATTAGGTCAGATTTTTAGGTCCCAATAGCATTGCTCATTTTTGAATCCTTTTGTCAGGTAGAATGGATTTACGGGGAATTTTTCTATTCTTTTTTTTTAAAACTCAACCAAAAGCTTTTGTGCTAACTTAGTATGTTAGATATCCATTTTATAATCTGTATACACAGGTGCACCAGCGAGGACTGTTGGTTGGCGCGATCCTGGATTTATTCATACCTGTTTTTTGAAGGAGTTGTGGCCTAACTCAATGTATGTTATCTTGTCCTTGAATATTATAATTGTCATAGATCAAATATCAGAAGTTTGCCCAAAATTTCTTGTTTCCTGTTACTTTAAGTAGTTAAGTTTTTGTTCGTTACAAGGATTAGAAACAACAAATTTAGTAGGATGCTGGGGGAGGAAAGCATTTACTCTTCTTGTGATTTAGGGCAAATTTATTTTAAACCCCTTGTGGTTTGCCACACATGCACATCACCCTGTTTCAAAATATGCACATAATNGGAGGAAAGCATTTACTCTTCTTGTGATTTAGGGCAAATTTATTTTAAACCCCTTGTAGTTTGCCACACATGCACATCACCCTGTTTCAAAATATGCACATAATCCCTTGTGTTATTGGACTAATCTGCAACCAATACAAATTCTGTCAATTGGACGGATTTTGTGATACACGCGTTTCACTCAAAAGTGGGTTTAAAAAACTTTAGGTCAAAGTGAATCTGTAAAATGACAAAGATGCCCTCAAAATTTTAAAAAAATAAAATATATCTCACCAGTCACCACAACAATCATGAAAACTAGTTTGTTTTAGGAAAATTTTTNTAAAATATATCTCACCAGTCACCACAACAATCATGAAAACTAGTTTGTTTTAGGAAATTTTTTGGAAGGAATGCAAAATGTACCTCTCTCTCTCTCTCTCTCTCTCTCACACACACACACACACACACACACAATGAATGGTTCTCTTGAAAGGAGTTAATTTCGAAATATCTCATTATCAAGACTATAAAAAGATATGATTCTCACCAGATGAGTTGGACTACCATATGATATAAAGAGTTAGTCATAGGAGTGTCATTGAGGAGTTTGCTTTCGGTTGTAAGCTTTCCCTTTTATCTTAACACGACATGTGCTTCATATTGATTATGCAGGTATACCTACAAACTAGGCCACAGGTTGTTCAATGGTACATATATTTGGAGTCAGATATACAAATTTAGGGCATCTCCTTATCCTGGTCAAAACTCTGTACAACGGGTAGTTATTTTTGGCGATATGGGAAAGGTTTGCACTCTTCTGCTAGATATCAAGCAAACCACTATTTCTCCAACCNACTCTGTACAACGGGTAGTTATTTTTGGCGATATGGGAAAGGTTTGCACTCTTCTGCTAGATATCAAGCAAACCACTATTTCTCCAACCTCAGCTCATGATAGTTATGATCTATTATCTGTCTGATTTGAGATATATCTTTTTGAGCAATTTCTCCAACATATCATTTGTTCCTTGGAAATTCAACACAACTATGTAATTTTGTTATGATGTTAAGATAGTATTTGTTCTCCCCCAATCCTTTGATTTTTCTATCATGTACTTCATCTCCCAATTATGTTCTCACTTTGGAATACGTACCAGTTATTTTCCTCCACCAAATTTGGTTTTCATGGACTTTCTTGAGTAGTTGAGTAATTACTTATATATGCATGTGATCTCATGTCCGTGTTTATCGTGTTCTAATTTGGAGATAACGAAGCTTAACACCACATAGCTACTTGGCATCTACTTCTGAAGTCTGTTTCTCCTGTCCATGTTTCATGGTGCAGGATGAGGCTGATGGATCCAATGAATATAATAATTTCCAGCCTGGCTCCCTTAACACTACCAGACAACTTATTCAAGACTTGAAGANTCTGTTTCTCCACAGGTACAAAGTACCACGTCCTACTCCGACTACCTAGGTTACTTATATTATTAATCCAGCCTGGCTCCCTTAACACTACCAGACAACTTATTCAAGACTTGAAGAACATTGATATAGTCTTTCACATAGGAGATATATGTTATGCCAATGGATATGTTTCACAGTGGGACCAATTTACTTCTCAGATTGAACCGATTGCCTCAACTGTACCTTATATGATTGCAAGGTATGTTGCATGTTTTTTGCAAACTTGTTACACCGCTTCTATTATGTCTTGTGTGGCAATTGATGACTTAAATTTGCAGTGGTAACCATGAGCGTGATTGGCCCGGAACAGGATCGTTCTATGGGAACATGGATTCAGGAGGAGAATGTGGTGTGTTGGCTGAGACTATGTTTTACGTCCCTACAGAGAATAGAGCAAAGTTCTGGTATGGGAGTATATCTTGATAAAACCTGTTAAATATATTCTGATCCATCATGCTCATTAATGCATATATGAACTTGCTACATTGTTTGGAAACAGATTATTGAGGTTTTGAACCTTTTATCTCTGCATCTTGATATCGTTCCTTGGACATCTGCAACCGAAATATACTCAAACTTCTCATCTAGTGACTAGCAATATGATTTTAATGCGATTGTGTAAAACCAAATTTCTCATGCACTAGGTGAGTCTCATTGGTATATGAGAAATTAACTCCAGCATTGTTGTTCATGTGAACTCTTCCTATTAACTGCAGGATGACAGCACCCTCTCGTTCCTCCATTGAAAACTCTTCTTCTGAATATGATTGTTGAAATTGTTTCAATTATTGGGTTATATTGTTATCACCACTGGTCTCCTTGCTTTTTGACCAAGGAGTATTAGTTACTAAAAGCATTCTGCATAGATATTTGATTTCCCCCCAAAAAAGGATGCCTGATAGAAAAAGAGAAGGGGGTGGGGAGGGGTGCTACTGTTTGGATCAATGTGTGTCTTTGTGTTTCACCTGTTTCGTGGTATATGTGTGATTGGTCTTTACTGTTGTTTTCTTCTTCTGCCAGGTACTCTACTGACTATGGCATGTTCCGCTTCTGCATAGCTGATACAGAACAAGATTGGAGACAGGGAACAGAGCAATATAAGTTCATTGAGCACTGCCTGGCATCTGTCGATAGACAGAAGCAACCATGGCTGATCTTCCTTGCACACAGGGTATTGGGTTATTCCTCTGATGCTTCCTATGCTATGGAAGGATCATTTGCAGAACCAATGGGGAGGGAGAGCCTTCAAAAACTATGGCAGAAGTACAAGGTTGATATAGCCATGTTCGGACATGTACACAATTATGAAAGGACATGCCCAATTTACCAGGTATCCTTGTAACTTTGTCTGTCTTAGGTGCATTTTACGTTGCTTCAAAGAGAATTTACACCTATACTCCGTTGTGTGCCAGTCAATGAAATCAAGTATGCATTGAACCAGGAACGCAGTTTAGATAGATCAATAATATCTGTTTGACTGTTGTCCTTTGTCTTCCTACAGAACATTTGCACAAATGAAGAGAAGCAATATTATAAGGGTTCGTTGAATGGGACAATACATGTGGCTGCTGGGGGTGCGGGGGCAAGCCTTTCACCATTTTCTTCCATGCAACCCAATTGGAGTATATTCAGGGATTATGACCATGGATTCACAAAGCTAACTGCATTTGATCATTCAAACCTGTTGTTTGAGTACAAGAAAAGCAGTGATGGGAAAGTTTACGATTCCTTCAGAATATCCCGGGATTATAGAGACATCTTGGCCTGCACTGTGGATAGCTGCCCAAGTATGACTCTGGCATCTTGAGTTGGATATAAGGGAAAACTTGTCTTTGTGAATTTTATCCATATATCAATCAGCTCAATCCCCATCCTTACCCCCCCAAAACTGTAGTGTGGAGAAAATTTTAAGTCATTTCTTTGTCTAGTTTGTTTCTCTGAATAGAAAGCAGGTCCTCTCATGTATGTTCCTAGCAGTACGCGAAAAAATATTGGCTTTTGGCAACTGGGTACAATCTTATTATCATAGTGTTCCCTTTCATGTCTTCTTTTTAGCACTACTACTCATTTAAGAGAGAATAAAACCCCCTAAACAGAGGGACGAGGGTTGACCTTTCTTTCTTAGCAAATTTCACCCAACTCAATCAAAGAAAAAATTCAACAGCAAAAAAGTTTAGAAATGATTTGATGTTTTTATTGAAGAATGTCTCTTTTCAATTGGGAGAGAGACATGAAAACGACCCCCCCCCCCCCCCCCCCCCCCCCCCC